CTGAAAACTTCATCTGTACAGATGTGACACACATACACACAAATACACGCAATAAAACCAAATATTTTATTTAAATCTAAGAAAATAATATAAATCAAGAAAATACCCAGCAGAGTATCAAAGCAGATACTGAAACTCATAGCCAAACTTTGGGCAGATTGCAGGGAATCTTATGAAAGAAGAGGGAGATGAAAGACCTGGAGGAGAGAGGAGTTCCACAAGGAGACCAACAGAACCAAAAAAAATCTGGTCATAGGGGTCTTTTATGATATTGATACTCCAACCAAGAACCATGCATGGAGATAACCTAGAACCCCTGCACAGATGTTACTCATGGCATCTCAGTTTCCAAGTGCGTTCCATAGTAATGGGAACAGAGACTGTCTCTGACATGAACTCAGTGGCTGGCTCTTTGATCACCTCCCCCTGAGGGAAGAACAGCCTTACCAGGACACAGAGGAAGACAATGCAGCCAGTCCTGATGAGACCTAATAGGCTAAGGTCAGATGGAAGGGGAGGACCACCATTCCTATCAGTGGACTGGGGGAGGGGCAAGAGAGGAGAAGAGGGAGGGAGGATGGGAGTGGGAGGAGACAAGAGAGGGGGCTATAGGTGAGATACAAAGTGAATAAATGTAATTAATAAAATAAAATTTAAAAAAGAATAAAAATATATTTATTTCAATAATAATTTAGAATATTAATGGTCTAAATTACCAAATAAAAAGATATAGATAAGCAGCATGGATTAGAGTGCAGGCTATACTTTTGCTTCCTCCTAGAAATAGATGTAACCTTTAAGATAGACACTACCTCAGACTAAAGGATGGAAAATGTTATCCTAATCATATAGATTTAGGAAACAAACTGGAATAACTATTATATCATCAGAAAGCATAGATTTCAAGCCCAAAGTAGTCAGAAGAGATAAAAAGCCAGTTCACATCCATGAAGAGTACAACTTACTAAGAGGATTTGTTAATTCTGAACAGAGATACAACAAACACAAATGTACCCAAGTTCATAAAACAAATGCTACTCTATGTAAAATTACAGATTAATCAACTCTCACCATTAGACACGTCATCTGAACAAAAGCCTGAGAAACATTAGAGATATGTGACATCATAAATTAGGTGGCCCTAACAGACATCTACAGAATATTTTGCTAAAACACTAAAGAATACACATTGTTGTAATCACATCATGAAACTTTTCCCAGAATTATCAACATATTAGAAAACTAAATAAGTCTCAACAGATATAAGAAAGTTGAGATAACATCCTGTATTCTAACCACATTAGAATGAAGCTAGGCATGAATAGCAAGAGAAACTATAGAAACTCATAGAGACTAAACAACACTCTATTGAATAATCTTTGATAGTTTTGTTGCCACAACTATTAACTACAGTCACACTTTGAAGTATTTATTATTACTTGTGAAAATGTTCTTAATACAACCATTCCACCAGCATACTCTAGGCATATGAAGAGAACAGCAGCTACAGATGCAAGCATCACCAAATACAAGTGATGGAAGAGAGAACCTTTGGTGTAGACGATCAGACTGAATTAATGGACACATCATTCAAAGAAAATGTTAAATTCAAAAAGTCCTGACACAAAACATGCAAGAATTCTGAAACATAATGAAAAGACCAAACCTAAGAATAATAGAATAGAAGGAGGAGCCTGACATCTCCAAGGCCCAGAAAATATTTTCAACAAAATCATAGATAAAAACTTCCCAACTTAGAGAAAAAGATGCCTATAAACATACAAGAAGCTTACAGAACACCAAAAGATTGGACAGAAAAGAAAATCCTCCTGCCACGTAACAGTGAAAACACTAAATGTACAGAACAAAGAAACACTTTTAATCACCGTAGATGGAGGAAAAAGATAATCCATGACAAAACCAAATTTAAACAATATCCATCCATCCTACAGAAGATACTAGAAGGAAAACTCCAACCCAAGTAGGTTAACTACAACCAAGAAAATGCCGGAAATAAATAATCTCAACACCAGCAAAACAAACCCCCCTACACTTGTGCACATATGTACGCACACACACATACCCTCTGCCACCACCAACATCAAAATAACAGGAATCAACAATCACTGATCATAGTTCTCAACATCAATGGACTCAATTCCCCAACAAAGAGACACAGGCTAACAGAATGAGTGCAGAGAATCTTATGGAAGAAGGGGGAGATAGTAAGACTCGGAGAGGACAGGAGCTCCACAAGGAGAGCAACAGAACCAAAAAATCTGGGCCCAGGGGTCTTTTCTGAGGCTGATACTCAAAACAAGGACCATGCATGGAGATAACCTAGAACCTCTGCACAGATGTAGCCCATGGCAGTTCGGTGTCCAAGTGGGTTCCTTAGTAATGGGAACAGGGACTGTCTCTGACATGAACTGATTGGCCTGCTCTTTAATCACCTCCTCCTGAGGGCGGAGCAGCCTTACCAGGCCATAGAGGAAGACAATGAAGTCACTTCTTATGAGACCTGAAAGACTAGAATCAGAAGGAAGGCGAGGAAGACCTCCCTTATCAGTAGACTTGGGGAGGAGCATGGGTGGAGAAGGGAGAGGGAGGTGGGGTTGGGAGGGGAGGAGGGAGGGAACTACAGGGAGGATACAAAGTGAATAAACTGTAATTAATAAATATAAACATGAAGATAAAAATAAAAAATATTCATTAAAAAATCTCAAGTGGCAGCACATGCTGGTGAGAATGTGGAGAAAGGGAAACCCTCTTCCAATGCTGTTGGAAGTGCGCTCTTGCACACCACTTTGAAAAATCAATCTTACACTTTCTCAGAAAATTGGGAATAGTTCTACCTCAAGACCCAGCTATACCACTCCTGGTCATATACCCAAAAGATGCTCTACTATACCACATGGATACCTGCTCAACTATGTTCATAGCAGCTTTATCCATAATAGCCAGAAACTGGAAACAACCCAGATGTCCCTTAACTAAAGAATGGATAAAGAAAATGTGGCACATTTACACAATGGAATATTACTCAACTATTAAAAACAAAGGCATCATAAAATTTGCAGGCAAATAGATGGAACTAGAAGAAATCATCCCAAGCGAGGTAACACAGACCTAGAAAAACACACATGGTATGTCCTCACTTATAAGTAGATATTAGCCATAAAGTACATAATAACCATGCTACATTTACAATTCACAAAGCCAAAGAAGCTAAGTAACAAGAAGGGCCCAAAGGAGGAAACTTCAATCCCACTCAGAAAGGGAAATAGAATAGATATCTGAAGTAGATGAAGGGTAGGAACTGGGTGGGAGAGAGGGTGGGGAGGGGAGTAGGAGTGGGATCAGGTGTAGGGATAGCAGAGTGGCTATGGGGGTGGAGAAAAGGACTGAGAGAGAAAGAATGGAAATAGTTGGGGATAATTTCTGGGAGAGGGGAGGCTCCTGGGACCTTAGCTGAGACTCCCAGCAGCAGAGGATATGGAGCCTGAAGTCACCACCACCTGTAGCCAGAGGAAGGAGGGGAACACCAACCCCACCCATAGAGAACCTTTAGCCCCAAATTTGTCCTGCCTACAAGAAGTATAGGGATAAAGATGGAGCAAGGATTAAGGGAATGGCCAACCAAGGACTGGCCCAATTTAAGACCCACCCCGTGGCAGAGAGCCAACCTCTGACACTATTAATGATACTCTGCTATGCTTGCAGACAGGAACTTAGCATAACTGTCTTTTAAGAGGCTTCATCCAGCAGCTGATGGAAACAGATGCAGAGATCCACAGCCAAACACAGGCCGAGCTCAGGAGTCTTGTGGAAGAATGGAAAGAAGGATTAAGGAAGCTGGAGGGGTCAAGGTCACCACTAGAAGACCTACAAAGTAAACTAATCTGGGCCCATGGGGGCTCACAGAGACTGAACCACAATCAAAGATAATGTATGGCTGTACTTAGGCCCCCTATACATATGTAACAGATGCACAGCTTGTTCTCTATGTGGATTCCCTAACATTGGCGTATTGGTTGTCTCTTGACTCTGTTGTTTGCCTTTGGGTCCCTTTCCCACTGGGCTGCCTTATCTGGCCTCAGTGGGAGAGAATGCACTTAGTCCTGCTTTAACTTGATATATCAGGGTGGGTTGGTATGGGGGAGGCCCTCCTCTTTTTTGAGAAGAACATGAGGGGGGGTAATGGGGGAAGGGGATGTGAGGGTGGGACTGGGAGGAGAGGAGGGAAGGAGCAGTTTGGCTGTAAAGTGATTAATTAAAGAAATGAATGAAAACTAAAACAAACCCTTGTAATGAATGTAATTCATTGAACAAATATACATATATAGTTTTATCCCAGATGAAGTTTTCTCATCTGGGATAAAACCCCCAGTGGCTAGGGCTATCTCAAGGACTCCCAAAACATACAGCCTATTGCTCTTGCCCTTGGTTATCCCCAAGAGGTGGAAGCTAAGTCCTTATGGCTGAAGACACCATTCATTTTAGAAACAGGGCTCAAAGACCCCTGAGGTAGAACTGATCTATATGCCCCCTCTCTGAGGACTAGGTTTCATGGTATCAGAAGGTGCTATGTGCTTCCAAAGGAGGGAGGCAACAAATAGTCCTGAACAGCTGTAATACCTACGTACCACATCAACAACCAGACTGGCATGATAACTTTACAGGCACAGTCATGGCACATACACATTTGCTATAACCAACAGGTCTCTAATTGTACTTAAGACCTGTTCAACAAGAGAAAAACCGTACCCAGTGCTGGAAACCCAGCTAACTACTCAGAGTGAAGCCTTGTTTACTGGAGGAGAATCTATAACCGAGTTACTAACCCTAACAACCACAGAAACATTTGTCGTTATACCCCAGATATGCAGGTAAGTGTAGTTTTCAACCCTCAAGGAAACTATTCTTTGCAACAGAGACTACTACAGAAAACCAATCAATCAAAATACAAGAGTTTGAGTGCATTCTGGATTGGCATAGCCATGGCGGCCCGTGTCCTTTCCGCCTGTGTCCGCCACCTGCCCGCGGTCTATGCACCGCTGTCCCTGCTTCCCACACTGGCCTTGTCCAGGCCACTCAGCATCACTCTCCACACTGAGGGAACCTGGAGGAGACCCGGGACTCTGCAGCCCGCCTTGGCCGTCGCGCAGGTGCCTGGAAGGATCACACACTTGTGCCGCCAGTACAGTGATACACCGTCATTGACGTTAGAGGAAATCAAAGACCGAGTTCTGTATGTCTTGAAACTCCATGACAAAATTGACCCAGAAAAGCTCTCAGTAAATTCTCATTTTATGAAGGACCTGGGCGTAGACAGTGTGGACCAAGTGGAGATTATTACGGCCATGGAAAATGAATTTGGGTTTGAAATCCCTGATACAGTTGCAGAGAAGTTAACGTGTCCACGAGAAATTGTAGATTACATTGCAGATAAGAAGGATGTGTATGAATAAAGGATCAGAACCTTCTTCCTCACTGAGAGAACCCCGAGGACACATGATGGCATTGTGACTGACCGACAATGGTTAACACAGGCTTAATGAAATAGTTATTTTCTCTTACTAATTTTACAAGAACAAACTGTATTTATGTTTGACATGTATCAAGAGACAACTTTGGCTGCTACCTAGGAAGAACAAATAATTATGAATTTAAAGGTTATTCCTAATTTAATTTCCTTTATGAATTTATGGAACTAAGTGCTCCTGAACTCTTAAAGTTATACTGCCATGTCAGAAAAAAATAATTAAATATTATTTGGAGGGTTCAGTTAAAAAAAGATATGGCATTTCTGAACACATACACACTCAGTTTCTTAAAACAAATACTACTAGATGCAAAATCACAAATGAATCCTAACACAGCAATAGTGGGTGGCTTCAACATCACTCTCACCATTAGATATATCGTAGGGACACACAAAAAAAATCAGCATTGAGCTGTGTGTGGTGGCATGTGCCTTTAATTCCAGCATTCAGAAGGCAGAGGGGTGGTGGATCTCTGTGAGTTCAAGGCCAGCATGGTCTACATGGCGAGCTCCAGTACATCCAGGATTACACAGAAAAACTTTCTCAAAAAAAATCCATAATCAACTTTGACACACTAGAGTTAAGTGGCATCATCAATTAAATGAACTAAAAGGCATCTATAAAACATTTTTCCCAAAACACTAAAGAGTACACATTGCCATAATCAGACCATGAAGCTTTTGCCAGAATTATCAACACACTAGAAAATAAAGTACATCTCAACAGCTATAGAAAAATTGAAATAATATCCTTTATTTTATCTAACCACAATGGAATAAAACTAGATAGCAACAATAAGAAAAAACCACAGAAACTCATGGAGACTTAACAACATACCAATGAATTATGAATGACTCATAGAAGAATCTAATATTAGCTTTGATATTTAGATATAGTTTTTCATGCTTTTAGTGCTACAACTATTAATTATGTTCATTCTACAAAGTGTTTTTGAGTACCTATGAAATTAAAAGCATTCACGTTCTTAATCCAGCCACCAGATTCACACACACTACTGTATAAAGTAGAAAAATAAGAGTACAGTGACACTGAGAGTAGTGTTGGTTGTAGCTGCAACAACAAAAATGTAAGGATGGCGTAAAGAGGATCTATAGGTGAAGTGTTCTGTTTTCTCATTTAGGGACATACTGAAGAGAGGGCAGAAATAAAAGATCCTATTACTGTACAGAAAGACAAAGCTCTCCACACAGGCTTATAATTTAGCTGTTTGTTGGAAAGGTGCTCACAGATTTGAGAATTCTGATAAATAGAAACAGTGGGAAAAGAATATTTTAATTCACACATCTGTACTACAGAATTTTTTTTTTAACCTTTAATCTCAGGTTTCTTTGCAGCAGGTGTTGACTTGTGCAGATTATTTGAAAGTGAACATTTTCACCATCTAAATTAGAAGTTTTGAACAGGTCTGGAACATGAGCACAATATCATTTAATGATGATGATGGAAACGAACTATTTCTGAGCATAATCTCCTCGAGTTATTTACATAGAGCAGTTAACAAGCACAAGTAGACTCTGATCTGTCTTTGCTGGCAGGTGATATTGTATAAATGTGGCTTATAAGAGTGTCAGTCAGGAGACTAAAACAGAGCAGTTAGAGGTTTTGCAGGCCTGTAGTCACCAGGTGCTTCTGCTTCCTATTTCTTCACATCCTTTTGTTGACATTTTTGTTTTCCTCTTCTTTGTTTCTTTCCTTCTTTTTTTCCTTTTATCTTAGTTTTTGTGATATTGAGGGTTGAACACAGGTCATATGCTGGTTGAGAACTTTACAAGTGAGCTATTTCCATTCCCAGAATGCTACTCACTTTAATTTTTAATTTTTTGCTTGTTTTTCTAGACAGGGTTTCTCTGTGTAGCCTTGGCTGTCCTGGACTCGATTTGTAGACTAGGCTGGCCTTGAACCCACAGGGATCCACCTGCCTCTGCCTCCCGAGTGCTGGGACTACAGGTGTGCTCCACCATGCCCTCTACTCACTTTTTATACTGACACAGGCTCTCTCGGCCCCACTAAACCTAAACTTTGACTGTTGTCGAGGTTGACCTTGAACCTGTGATTTTTCTGCATGAGTCTCCCAGGGAGCTACACTGACAGGTATATAACTCCAGGCCCAGCTACTTTTCCTTCCACTTTTTCTTTTCTTTCTGCCTCTCTTCCTGGCAATACCATTCCAGTGGGTAAAGTGGGTAAAGTCATGATCTCTCTCTATCTTTAGCTTTTTTGGCACCATCAGTACTGTCCCATATTTTTTTGTTTGTTTGCTTTTTTATTTTGTTTTGTTTTCTTTTTTACTAACATATACCAATTGTACAAAATTGTATTTTTTAATTCTTTATTTTTTTAAACTTTTTAAAATTACACTTTAGTCACTTTGTATCCCCCCATAAACCCCTTCCTCCTCCCCTCCTAATTCCACCTTCCCTCCCCTTTCTTCACGAATGCCCCTCCCCAAGTCCACTGATAGGGGAGGTCCCCTCTCCTTCCTTCTGATTTTAATCTATCAGATCTCATCAGGAGTGGCTACATTGTCATCTCCTGTGGCCTGGTAAGGCTGCTCCCCCTGAGGGGGAGGTGATCAAAGAGCAGGCCAATCAGATTATGTCAGAGGCAGTCCCTGTTCCCATTACTATGGGACCCACTTGGACACTGAACTGCCATGGTCACATCTGTGAAGGGGTTCTAGGTTATCTCCATGCATGGTACTTGGTTGGAGTATGAGTCTCTGGAATCTTATGAAAGAAGTGGGAAATAAGATCTGGAGAGGACAGGTACTCCACAAAGAGAGCAACAGAACCAGAAAATTTGAACACAGGGGTCTTTCCAGAGACTCATAATCCAACCAAGTACCATGCATGGAGATAACCTAGAACCCCTGCACAGATGTATTTTTTTTAATGTGCACAAATTTTTAGCTCAGACAAACCCTAATTTGCCTATATTTATATATATTTTTTGACTATGCCTTCAATGCCAATTCAAAAATATATTCTAAGGTAAATGTCTTATATGGTTTTGTGTACATTTTTCTAATGTTTTCCAGATTTGCTTTAATGTGTAAGGTAATTAGCTATTACATTTTGAAGTGTTTCTCTTATTTTGTTATTTTTACTATTATTTAAACTGGTACAGTCTCTGATGATTCCATATAAATTTGAAAATGGACTTTTATACCCTGGTCAGATATCTTTGTAATTCTAGGAATTTTCCCACCGGCTATAGTTAATTTATTTGCTAGTATTAGATAACCAATATAGTTTAATACCGTTAATATTTTAATTCACAAAATCTCATGCTGAGAATTATGCAGAAGTTTTTTTCATGACTTTATTTCCACAATAATTAAGAATAGTCATTATAGAATGTATATAGAAGTATCTATAAATAGTAAAAGCATACATTTTCTAATTACAACAATCTTACATGCTGTACTCTATAAAGACAAACTAGCATTATGAAAATATGATTAAGAAATAAAAATATCAATATAATTTGTGGAATATGTTGGCACATGCCTGTAATTCCATCACAATGGGAAACAAGGGCAGTCCATCTCCATGAGCTCTAGCCAGCCTGTCTATATAGCAACTTCCAGGTCTTACTACATAGTAAGGTCCTGCCTCAGTTTTGAATAAGTGATGCTTTGACTGCGCCAGTGACTGAGACTACAACTGCAGAGATGTAAGATGTTCTCATCTATAACGTTACAGAGGACACGAAAGGCGTAAGGCGTGAAGGGAATCAACCAATTTATCTGGCTTACAAGTAAGGAGGAATCCACACACAGGGTTCTATTTCTGATCAGGGTCACCAACTCTTCCACACATGTGTCTATTAACAGGAAAGCATAGGGGCTCATAGTACAGGCTGTTTGTTGGAAGAGCCCATACTCGGGATACTGGCAGATAGGAATAGGGGGAACAGAATACAGAGTTTTGTTTCAGACACATATTACAGGGTTTTCTTTCCCTTTAATGACTTTGATATTTGGAGTAGAGGCAACCATCTTCAAATTATTTAAAAATTCAACACCTCTTTAAGGTAACTTTACAAATTTAGGCTGTTCTGAAAAGAATAAGATTTTAAGTGATACGGTAAATAAACTAATTTCAAAATTTATAGGTGTGAAAACAAACTCATTATATATATATTTATACCTAAATACATTTAAATTAAAACATAATTACATTACTTCCCATTACCTGTTCTACCTCAAGGCCTTCCCATGTTTTTTTCCCTATAGCTCACCCAAGTGCCCCCACTCTGAAATAGCCTTTTTTCCTTTGGTTATTATCATTATATAAATACACACAAATATATAAATACAGTCTGCTGTGTCTGTTTTTTGTTGTTTGTATGTATATGGTTTCTGGGCTGATAGCAGTAGATTGGATAAGCAATCAGAGGGATCATGCCTGGGAGTAACTAATTCCCCCTTTCTCAGCAGTCATTACTTTCCTGTAGTTCTTTGTCTAGGGGTGTGACCCTATGAGATTTTCTTTTTTCTATGTTAGCATGTTTAATGATATTGTCATTGTTCAGGTCCTGGAAAAATCAATCTCCTCTAAAGCCCAGCCTCTTAACTCCTCAGTAACTTGCAGTTTAACCAGCAAACATAGATTCTTTTTGAATTTACTTTGCCTGGTTGTCGATATTTTATGTAAGTCTATTATAATAGTATAAGTCCGGGGCTGGGGAGACAGCACATAGGTTAAGTGCTTGCCATACAAGCACACACACCTGAAATTTCAGCAACTATCTATAAAGTTTAGGGCTGTGGCAAGTGACTGTAATCCTAGTGCTGGGGCAATGACACAAGAATTTGCTATCCAGATAACCTCACTCTACATTTGTCGAGATATTCTGCCTCAGAAAATAGGTTTTATACTGAGAGTATAAAATTTAATGTG